CTGAGACTCTGTTTGTTGATAGTTTATTTGGTAGCAGGCTTGATGATTTTGATTCTGAAACTGTTTGTTCTTGGCTTGGAGTTTGTTTGGGAAAACTTGGCTTGTTTGATTCACTTACAGTTCTACTTGCCTTTGAGTTTGTATTTTTGCAGTTTGAGATGCAAGCTTGCAGTTTGTTGTTTGCAGATTGTTTGGGCCAGCTGATTGCAGTCGGAATTGCAGGTTTGCAGTTTGTTGTTTGACTTGCAGTTGGAACTGCAGGTTTGGTAAGGCTTGAGTTTTAGACTTTGGCTTTTGTTTTAAACTGTTTGGTTAATGGCTGTGCAGTTTGGTACAGGTTGTGCATAGTTTTGGTTAACTTGCAGTTTGATACAGGTTGTGCACAGTCTTGCAGGTTTGGCTTGGTTGTTTGTTACTTTGAAGGGCTTGTTTTGCAGCTTGCTTGAGTTATGCAGGTTTGCTTGAGCTTGAATTTTTTGAGCAAGCTTGGTTGTGGTTTTTCAGTTTGCAAGTTGTGCATAATTTTTTGCTAAGTATTTTCTCCCCCCTTTTACTGTGTTTGCTGCTAGACTGTTATATATCTTTTGTTATCTTTACTGTCTTTGACAGCCTGCCTTAGCCAAATTGAAAACCTTTCCACTAGGTCCTCTCTTTTTCTCTCTCTCTAAGCACCTTTTGCTTATTATATTGTAATTTCTGAAAAGTTTGCCTAGGAAAATGATGATGGCTTTGACAAGTCTCTTTGGCTTGTAATTTGGTTTATCTCTCTGCATTGTATTACCTGCTGCATTGTATACTTTTTGTACTTGTATGCCTTGACAGTTTGCATACTTTCTGCATTGTGTATTTTGCCTTGACAGTTTTGAATCTTGGCGCCTTGGTTTTCCTTTACAATGCCTGTGTTTGACAGTTTTGCATTACTGCATTTTGGTATTCAGTTTGGAATTTGGCGCCCTGGTTTGCCTTTACAATGCCTTATGCTTTTGCATTTGAACCAAGTTTTTGCATCTAGTTTGACATGCTTGCATTTTATTATTTGTTTTTACTTTTCTCTTTGTGAACCAAGAAGAGTAATCTTCTTGTGATTTGCAAAGAGGAAAATAAAACATGATGAACAAATAGCATTCTGATTCCGGCCGGCAAACTTTAGTGATGATTTTCTTTTTTCCTTTTCTGCTTGAAAATTCTTATACTAATTTCTTTTTCTCTGTCTTTTGCAGGTAAGTACCAATTGGATGATAGAGGAAGCAGTAGAAGTCAAAGATCTTAGGAGATTAGGCTTAGATTTATTTTTTCATTTATTGTAAACAAATATTATCTTAAATACTATAAGTTGTAATCTTACAATATTCAAATAAAATTTGTAACAACGTTTGAAGTAAATAAAAGTCTTTATCCAAAAGAAAAGTTTCTACTGTCAAATATCTTTTCAAGTTTTTCCTTTGCCTCTTCACTTTTATATTTAAGATTCCTGATTAAAAATAAACTGAAACAGCATTCCAGCATTTCCAATACAGATGACTAAAAATCCAAGTAATCTTAAAAAACTCTGCACTCTCATAACCTGCGACAACATTCCAATCAACACACGTGTTATGTATTCCAATAAGCAAGCAAGCCTTCCGTTAACAAACAAACGTTTCGTTCCATTAACAGCAGATGCCTTAATATTCCAAATAAGAGTCTCAGTTCTTATCCCAGATAATCAGGCCTTGAGAAACAACCAATAAGCTTGAACAAGCGTGAAAACAATGTAACAGTTAACTGAATTTCTGAGGATTCAGTTTCTTCTGAGAAATACGAGCGAAAACCCTAATTCCATATTTGTTTCCAAAGAAAGGTCAGCTTGATCAATTCCTGAGCCAATCTCAAAAATCAGAGAAAACCCTGGGGTTGTGATTTTCTTGTGAAAAAGGGAGGGCAAATTTTGGGGTACAACAGGAGCCAATTATACTTACTAAAAAGTATAATAAGGTTAGTCGTGTATTTATAGGGTTGTATATGGTGTTTTATATGTAACGTGTTGCGTATAGGGCTAGCTCACACAGAGTGGTGATAAGCTCTGTATATTGCTTTTTGGAAGAAATATTAGATTTTCTATCAACCATAAGGTTAAGATATTTATAGAGACCACATGGGCTTGGTTCAAAGAACCATAGAGCGGATTATTTTGACTTCATCTTCGAGAAATATGAAGAAAGTGGGTTTCACCTCTTCTTGAATCATTTGGGACAGTTTCCATGTTTTATTATCCCCTTTATTCATTAGTTATGGGGAAACATCATTACCCTCATTTTGACAAATGGGTGAGAGACAAGATGGTCCAAGCGGCACGATCCCAATATGGGCGAGTTATTATAAAATGTAGGTGGCCCGTGACACAGCTTCATACGACCTATGGTGTTACTCTTGTGCTCGTACACGCCAGTATAACTGGCATATCTTTCTTCCCTTTTTATTATCCTTTTAGGCCTAATGAAATTATCTTGGTACAGGTTTATACTCGGAGGTAGAGGTTTTCATGTACGCTTTTGGGGCTTCTAAGCCTCAACCTTGAGTATTATGAGATCATATATTGAGAGATTGTGGGATATGTGGTATTGCACTCTAATTTCGACAGGACTTTGGATGATTATTATTGTACGATTTTAATTTTTTTACCTTAACGATTTTACTAGAACAAACATCTCCATTCCTAAATTTTAACATGTTTTTCCGATCCATCTTTTAGTAAACGTGTTCAGGATATTGAAGTAAAATTTTACATGACCACAAACATTAAGTAGTTTTTTGGTGTTTGTAAGCAACATATACTCAGTATTTTCATATAACTATTATTTTTTATAAATTAGGACATCATATGTCACCAGTAGAATATCTTATTATCCTTAGATGACTCCTCGTGATTCTTTTGTTTTTTATTGATAAGGGTTGTCATATTTGTTGTAAGTCGTGTCAAGATATATTTTGCAAGCATGAAAGCATGAAGTTTATTATAAAGATATTACAGGTTTCAAATACATACATGACTTTGTTAGAGATATTATTTTTGATATATTTAGGCGAGTTGGAGTATTTATGTAAAAAGAAGTACCTGTGAATTTCTTGATCGACTCGTGTGAAAAAAGATTGATACTCAATAGATATCCTATATACGGGTGGTATGAGAAAAATATGAATGTGTTAACTTAACTTTGATTTTCTCACTTATAGAATTTAGGATCTTGGGTTTTAATACGGGAGAAATTGTCCTTGAAGCTATCTCAAGCAAAGTGGCTATATATAAGAAAATTTGTCCCGACAATAAACATGCTTTTATATTATTTATGTTTGACATTTTTTATTTCCATACATAAGAGAGAATAAATCTTCTAAATGATTAAACATAATAGTATTGTAGACTATAGATATAATTTTCAAGAAGATTGATTTTTTTCATTTAAAAAATTAATGGTGCAACTTGCCTTTAATTTATGTGTAATTTTCTAAAAGTAAGTGTATTATATAATTTAGGGTTAAATATATTTTTGATCCTTATAAATATTTTTAATTTTATTTTTAATTTCTATTAAAAAAATGATAAATTTTGGTCTCTAAAAAATTTTTGTTTATCCGATTTTAGTCCCTGCTATTTTCTAAAATTTTAAAAACTGTTTAATTACACTTAAACTTTTAAATTTTTTAATAATATCTTTCATACGTGTTTAGAATACTATAAAATGTTTCTTTATCAAATTTTAGAATTTTTTAAAATGAGAAGAATTAAATATGATTTTTTTTAAATTTCAAAAGATATTGATAAAAATAATGAAAATCTCGACTTAGAAATCAAATTTTGAATTTTTTTTTCCAAGAAATTTTTATAACGTTCTAAACATGTCTACAAAATAATTATTAAAAAATACACATTAATTTAACAACAGAGACTAAAAATACGTGCATAATAATTTTGTAGAGACTAAAACTTATCATTATTTTAATATAAAAAAAAAATATTTAAGATATTCATAGAGATCAAAAATATATTTAATAATATAATTTAAAAAGAAATGTGAATATTATTAACCTCATAGAAGAGGAGTGCAACCAACACATGAGATCATATAAATAAAATTAACACTATATTATAATATTTTTTGACATCTCATTAATCTCAACACTATAAAAATAAAATTAGTTATGGTTGGCCATATTAAAATAATTCAATAGATTTTCTCTTGCAACTATACTTTTTTGAGTTTTTTCAATCACAAAAACTCATATCTAAGATATTATTGAAAGGATGAATCTAATTCACTATTATTCTTTTGTTAAGTGGAGGCATCACATGTCACTATAAATAACTCAATTATGTTAACATCTTATATCATTACAGTAACACATATCATTTGTAACACTTTATTAAACAAATCAAAACTGAAGAGTTTGGGGATTAGACCAAAACCACGCATAACAAATATAACCAACAATTACCTCATTATAAATCCTACAAGGAAACTCCAATGCAATAAAGCTATGGTGATGGATAATAAAGATAATATAACAACAATTAACAAATGCAAATACATAATAATGAATCAAATCTACAAAAAAGGTTAAAATATTCAATATTCAATATTCCTAGTATGACTATCCTTAATAAAAATGGAAATATTATCACCTTTTTTTTTACTTATGTAACTTAAAAATCTTACCATGTACTGGTTTCCTAATAATCTTTACCATTTATAGTGCTACAAGATGCGATACTAAAAATCATTTTATCTCAATTATAAAAGTAAATAAAAAATAAATCATTCATCAATCACAAACCTTATAAACCAATGAATTAGTATATAGTATTGTCTCTTCTCACACTCCAAACCATCACAATAAAAAACTGAATTGAACTGCTCTTTCTTCTTCTTCTGGTACTAAAAAACTCTTTTCAGTTATATATCAAATAATCACTTATCATAAACCAAATCAATTCTGATTCTCTCTCAACTTCTTCTCTCACAATGTTTGTCAAGAAACTCGTTGAAAAAGCTTCAATTAAGAAGGTATAACTCATCCATTTTCTTTTCATTTCAGCATCATCTTCTTTTTCTCTTCATTCATTGCTTTCACCTGCTTGCTTCCACCGTTTATTTATCTCTCAATTCTTCATTCATGATGATCACTCTCAGTTTCTTTCTCTGGATTTCATCAATTTCTACATTTTCTTTCTCAATTTAAGATTAACGGTTTTGGTTTTGTAGAATTTTATTAAATATTATAAAACTGAACTTCGATCTTAGCATTGGAATTGAAAACGCTAAATTTCATCAAGATCATATAGTACTACTCCGGATCTCGCTGCTTAATTTCTTGTACTTTACTTCATTGAAGTTCTATCACTCAAACATGTGCTTTATGAACGGATGTCTTTTTTTATATAATTTAGGATTTCTCAATTTAAATTATTTCTTACCTTTTTTTAGAATAATTATTATGCATTCTCAATTTAAATTTTTACTCACAACTAATATTTTATATATAATTAAAAATATATATTTACAAAATTTTAACAGACTGATGGTAAAATTGAACAAAATTTGGTCGGTTGGTTTATATATAATTCAAAGATTATAATTATTCATTCACCTCCGGGTTTTGCGCTACTTAGATTGTTAAGGATAAAAATAAAATCATAATTAAAGTAATTTTGTAAGTATGCGATTACGTGTATTCTATTAATAGGATATACTAAGAAGTACCGTCTATATTTATTTAGTTATGTACACTATCTTAGATTTAGATTAAATTTTTGCCAAGTAATTTTCTGTTGTAGATTTTTGCTTCTTTGTTTGAATATGAAATGAACGTTGTGATGGGGTCGGTGACATTTTAATGACCAAGTCTGTGCGTGTTCCTTATGGTATGATGTGTGGGGTCATCAAAGGTTAGTGATTAAGAAGATGTAAATGTTGGTCGTGGTTTGGTGGGTCCATTTTAGAAGTTAATGTTAGTTAACCCACTACGGCACTATTTAAAAAAGAAAAGTTTGATCTAAACTAAACCTATATAGACTAGGGGCATAGGCCTATTCTCACTCATGCTCAAGACACATCACAAGGTTCGGTGGACCAGCAGCTGTTGTTTTCTGCTAAAGAATACTATATGCTTTTATTTTATTTTTTGAAATTGTGTTGAGAATGAATGTTATATATATTCTGTTTTTTAATGGTGGAGAGTGAAGACAAAACTGAGCCACCAGAATTGGACAAGTGTATAAGAGATTTAGATTGTAATCTTCTATGCATGATGTCATAAATTTGACTCAGTGTAAGAGACTCTCACCAAATGGATAGAGGAATACCATTTATCTCCGTCTCACAAAAGCTAACAAAAAGAAAGGATGGACATTATGTAGAGCGAGACTTAAAACCTTGACTCTCAAAAAAAATAAAGACTGGACGGGGTAGACACTGCACATTTTTATCTAAAAAATTGTAAAAATTTATGCTGATATACCCGCTTAAAGAAAATAGAACGGATATATTAAACAGTGTGGATCTAAAACTTTAACCTATCCTATAAAAAGTGTGGATAAAACGGATTGTCCGGCAGACAAGGTCCATTTTACCATCCCTACAAACGGAATTACATGTATACAGTCTTACCTCGACAAGGAGTAGGACTGTTTTTAGGATTTGAACCTATGAGCACCACCGAACAATTAAAATAGTTCAAGTTGTTGTTATATGTTCTTATCTCTAATGATAAAATAATATGTAAAAGAAAAATTTGAATGAGTGAGTTTTTATGCAGCCTGGTGGAAATTCACTAGAAGGGTTAAAAGCTAGTGATGTCAATCCACGAGTGGTGTTTCATCAAGGGATACCATCAGGTGGTGACAAAATTGCCTATGACACCATTCAGAAGATACTGGCTCTTTCTACAAAGTATGTTCTCTTTGACATGTCTTGAGTCTTGTCCAATAAGTCTGATAAATTGCCACTATAATGATGTAATTTTACTACTGTCAATAGTTGTGACTTCCTTATGAGATATGTGTTGTCATGATGTTTGAATCATTGAATTGAAAGTATTTTGGTGTATTCTTGAAAGTTGAAACTGATTTTGCTTTTCATTTTAAAAGGGATGGCAGGATTAAACTATATGGAAAAGATAATGCTCAAGCCCTGCTTGATTCTAGTGAGCCTCTACCTAGCAAGTTTTTACAGGTCACATGTCACTTTTCGCCTCATGATCAAATCTCGTGTGTTCTTTGTTTTCATTTATCGTTTACTTTTGAAAACGAGACAATTTTCCCTTGCTATTGTGGACAATGTTCCTTTGCTTAGGAATTTCAAAGTGCGCCTATATACTCATAATCCTATGTTATTTTATGCATGCAGTTCATCCAGAACAAAGGCATCCTTTTAAATGTCACTTCCAGTAATCATATTGAGGCAAGTGTAACTTGCTCACATTTATAATGATTTATTTGATTACTAGGATTCACAATGTTATGCTTTTTTTTAATTGTTGTCCTAAAAAATGTATATCTAGGTTTGGGACATAGAGAAGAAAGTGTTGTCTGACGTATATGTTGCTAAAGAAGAAATCACTAGTTTTGCAATCATTCAACATAGCCTCTATATGTAAGGAATCTGTCTAATTTGGAACAAGTTAACAAGAAATTAGGTTTTGAAATTCCTCCTAAAGATATGAATATGTGTTGATAGGTATATTGGACATTTTAATGGTAATGTATCAGTTTTGAAGCTTGACCAAGATCCATGGCATATAGCTCAGATGAAATACACCATACCCTTTTCTGCTTCCTATGGTGAGATACATCTTTTACTCTTTAGACTCACTTTTAGACGCAGAAAAAAAGAAATTATACTTTTTGTTGATATTTAATATGATTAGTACCCTATCATTTTGATTTCCATTATGATCATTGTTTAGGGAATTCTGAAGTTTCTGACGATACTCTTGTGATGCATGTGCTGCCTCAACCAGCAGCTGAAACTAAGAGGTGATCTCCACAAACTCGTCTATCTTTTTGGATGTTTTTATATAAATAATTTGGTTATTTTGTTTTCGTGATCATTAATTCCTGAAAACAAACTTGCGTTCTATTCTGTTCCCTTGCAGGGTTCTCATAATCTTTAAAAATGGCCAAATAATACTATGGGACGTTCAGGAAAGCAGAACTATTTTCAGAACTGGTGGAAATATTTTGCAGACATTACATACTAATGAAACAAAAAAAGTGAGTTCGGCATGTTGGGCATGTCCGTTTGGAAGTAAAGTAGTTGTTGGATACAATAATGGAGAGCTCTTCATTTGGAGCATACCTTCTCTAAATACAGGAAATGGTCCTGCTGCATCTGATCTTAATAGTCAAAGTCCTTTGCTCAAACTTAACTTAGGATACAAGTCAGAGAAAATTTCTATAGCATCAATTAAATGGATTTGTGCAGGAGGAAAGGCTAGTCGACTGTATGTCATGGGAGCTTCTGAGTTTGCAAGTTCAAACTTGTTACAGGTATTCGAATTTTCATTTCAAATCATTTAACAAAATATCTCCTTTTAGGATAACTCATCCATAACATTCATGTAACAATATCTAGATGTATAGTAATATTGATGAGATGTACAAAAGAATTTGCATTGTCTTTTCTGCGTCTTTCGAGGTATATACATCGTGATTACATCTAGACCATGCTCTCTTTCTTTTATTATGTGAACCAGGTAGTGTTGTTGAATGAGCATACGGAATCTCGCACGACTAAGTTAGGACTTCTTTTGTCTGAATGTTGTGTTGACATGGAGATCATATCAACTTCAACTGAGCAAGACAAGCATAAACAAGATTCTTTCCTTGTGCTGGGAAAGTCAGGTCATGTATATCTATATGATGATAGTTTTATTGAAAGGTATCTGCTACAATCTAAGTCCACACCTTCACTTCCTAAGGCCGTGATTGTGAAGTTACCACTGGCAGGTTCAAGCATCACAACAGCAAAATTCATCTCGAACAACTCTAATGTGTTTTATTTTGAAGATGAGGTAATAGGGCTATGAAACTGTAATTTCACTCCACTTTGTACATTCCATTTGTAATCTACTTATTCTATTTAAATGCTTTGGTTTGGCTTTTTCTTTCTTTCTTTGGTCAATTAGTACTACAGGCAGCTGGTGAAAAATCATCCCCTTTTTGTTCCAGTTGAAACAAATCAAAAAGATGGGACTAGCCCGAGTTCAGCTAAATTTTCTGGATTTTCAAAAGTTCTAAACTTGTATATAACTGGACACAGCAATGGAGCTGTAAACTTCTGGGACGCTTCGTGCCCCCTTTTCACCCCAATTTTGCAATTAAAACAACAGGTAATATCGTCTCCTGCTCTCGAGTTCTCTACATTCAGTTAAAAGAATCTATTAGTTTTAAGCAGGTCTATTATAGTCCATGTACTTCAAAAAATTTAGTTAGTATTACTTTCGCTTCAAGTAACTATTTTCTTATTTGTTTCCTCCGCCTTAATAATGCAGAACGAAAATGACTTTTCATTGAGTGGTATACCCTTGACAACACTGTACTTTGATATCAACTCTCCTCTTCTTGTTTCTGGGGACCAAAGTGGAACGGTGAGATTCCTTCAATTTTGTGTTCCATAAAAACTGATGATTCCTCTGTCTTCTCTTTATGTGCTGTATGTATGCATAACATAAACATGATGTGCAGGTTCGCATCTTTAGATTCAAACCTGAACCATATGCCACCAACATCTTTAGTATGTCTCACATAGCATATGACTTTTGCTTGATTATCAAAAAGATAACATAGTTAATATATGAATTAATACTGACTTCCGTCTTCATTTCTTTTTTTGTAGGTGGTACAAAGAAAGGGACTGATCATATCATCCAAAGTGTGAAAACTATTAAGATTAATGGTGCCATAACTTCTTTGAAGATGGATCATAGCTCCACACGTCTTGCTGTTGGTTCTGATCAAGGACATGTAAGACTATTTTCTAGTGTTCTCTTCATATACAAAAATCCAACTCTATTTCATGTTTTCTAAGAAATGAATTTGAGCTCCAAATGAATAGATGTCAGCAACCTATGCGACGCAAGAATTGTTATTCCTTGTGATTTGAGGTTAAAAATGTTTGTTGGCATTACCCTGCTAAATAATCTGTGCATTAATGTATGTTAATCCAATTTGTTACAGGTTTCGGTTTTTAACATGGATGGCCTAACTTTGTTATATCAGAAACATATAGCAAGTGAAATTTCTGCTGGTATCATCTCGTTGCAATTCCTAACATGCAGTTTGCATGGTTTTGATAAAAACATTTTAGCAGTAGGAACAAAAGATTCTTCTGTTCTGGCACTTGATAATGAAACCGGTAACATGACAAGCACGGAAACTGTTCATCCTAAGAAGCCCTCTAAAGCTCTATTTATGCAGGTGTTTGGTAAGGGCTTGCAAAGTTTAATATTATGATTAACTTTTAACAACTTATTAAAAATAATCGGCACGTGTGTTCTGTTATGGACTGGTATTTCAACAGTCTCGATAGATGTAAAGGAGATAAGTGAAAAAAGTACAAGTAATTCTATTTTGGTATACAGATGGACAAGGTGAAGTATTAACAGGATCAATTACAAAGGATGAAATAGACTTGAGTGAAGGGAATCATATTGAGAATGCACCAACAAAGCAATTGTGCTTTCTGCTTTGTTCAGAGAAAGCTTTATATGTGTATTCATTAATGCATGCTGTTCAGGTAAAGCATGAGTTACTTAATAATTACAATCATGAGTTCTGAAGAACAAGAACATTAGCTTAAGGATGCAATGGATTTTTTTTTCCCTTATGTTTGTAGGGAGTTAAAAAGGTGCTTCACAAAAAGAAGTTTCATTCTTCTTCCTGTTGTTGGGCATCAACATTTTACTGTCCCTCCGGTGTTGGTCTTGTAATTCTTTTCACCAACGGAAGAGTAGAATTAAGGTGATACTTTTTTCTTACTCTGTGCATAGCATGAAAACATATTTTGATGGCTGTGGCATATGAGTAAACACGATTTACATAAAAGAAGATTTACCAAAGCAGGAAAATTTTACCTTGTTGGACATGTTAGTTTATTTCATACTATTTGTTAGCAAGGCATTGTGGCAGTGTGCTTTGCAAGTAAATATGCAAAATGCATTTCATATCAAAGAGAATTTCGAAATAGCTTATTTGGGCTTACCTTATGACATAAGCACTTATTTAAGTGTATGAGTTTGAAATAGCCTCTAGAAATGGATTATTAACTACCCATAAGTTGTGTTCAGCTCATTTTGATAAAATCTCAATAGCAGCTTATAGAAACAGCTTGTGCAAAGCTTATGTGGACTTTGTTCTCTTTCTCTCGTTAATTATAGAAACAAATTATAGATAAGCTCTCATATAATGAGGACTTATTGAATAAGTGTTTGACAGAAATGTGTTTTGCTGGATGATAAAAATCAGAAATTCACTTATTTCTACTTAGTTAACTGTGTGCCAAATACTTTCATTTGAGTGTATTCGTCTTAGATATCTAATGCGTAGAAATTTATTTTAAATGATAGGTCTTTGCCAGAGTTATCCCTTATTGTGGAGACTTCAATTAGAGGTTTCAATTATTCACCTGCAAAATCAAAGTCATTTTCGGATTGGCAAATATGTTGTTCATCCAAAGGAGATCTTGTTTTGGTATGAACATTTTTTCTCTAGTACAACAAACTCTTAGATATTTGATTTTGAATTAGCCCAACTTCCATTTACAGGTGAATGGAGACCAAGAAATTCTTGCTGTCTCATTGTTGGTCCAAAGAAATATTTTCAGGTATATAATAACAATATGTTTTTGATCAGTAGGAATCGTACTCGGTACTCCAGGGTTTACAACACTCCCACACATTGTGCATCAAGCACTTGCACTAGTAGCCTCACTTTTACATTTTACTTGACTTCATTTTAGGATTTTGGATTCTGTTAGCTGCATCTACAAGAAAGAAATGATGCTGTCACAAGAAGAGCTTGTCCCTGGCCCAGTCATACATAAGGAAAAGAAAAAGGTATGCAGTAGTTTCATTTACTTTCTAAACTTTATGATATCCATCATCTTTGTGACAAAAAGGTGTTCAATCTTGTTTTTTGGATTCCCAGGGTATCTTCAGCTCTTTCTCTAGCAATAAAGAAAAGCCTGTACCCCTCATGGAAACAGAAAATTCTAGAGAAAGTATCCAGGAACTCTCAGTGATCTTTTCAAAAGAAAACTTTCCTTCTATTGTTGATAATAATGATAACCTGGCTATTGATGAAGACGAGGTCGAGCTAAACATAGGTAGGAAAGAACCTTATAAATGCTCTTCTAGTCATGAGCAAAATATTATGAAACATGACTGCTTCCTAAGGCAGTTATCCTAATTTTTCATATCTCGTAGGCATCAAAATGTATTGTAAATTCCTTTTTCTATAGAATGGATGAAGTATGCGCTAATGAATTTGAGATGTGTTCCTTTCTCTTCTACAGATGATATTGACCTAGATGATCATGTAGAAAAACGCAAAGATCGTGGCATAATGGGACTTGGAGGTCTTAATAAGAAGAAACTGACTGGAAAATTTCAGGCTCTAAAAGGTTAGCAATAACGAGTTTACTATAAGAGAAAATAGCATATATGGCAATTGGATGAATTTTCCTTAGACGTTACGCCGATGGTGTGTCACCATTAAACTCATTAGTTAAGCATTCAATATGCAGGAAGGTTGAAAGAGATGAAGGGAAACATCCAAAAAACATCAGGTAAGGAAGAGCAACAAGAAGAGCGACAAGAGCAACAACCTGGTACCGTCGATCAAATTAAGAAGAGATACGGATTTTCTTCTTCCTCCAATGTAAGTATATAGACAGAATATGAAACCTCAATTATGCTTGACTCACTTGTCATTATACATCATTTCACGAGCACAGAATGATCAATGCTTTTTTACAAAGGAAAGATGTCATCTAGGACAAAAAATGACTTCTGTTATTCCAAGAATTTGTTATTTTAATATCTTATTACTTAAATGTTTCGGAACCATTTTTTAACCATAAGTCTGGTGGCGCTGCAGGAAACAAGCGTCGCTAAATTGGCAGAAAGCAAGTTGCAAGAGAACTTGAAAAAACTACAGGTATCTTTTAATTTATTTTTTGATAAAACAGTCAACGTTTTGTCCTAGCATAAACAAGTATGTACAAATTATGTCTCGTATCTAATTTGTTTGTTACTTATCTAAACATTTTCTGCTTTGGCAGGGTATCAACCTTCGAACAACAGAAATGCAAGATACAGCAAAATCTTTTTCATCAATGGCAAACCAAGTACTGCGAAGTGCTGAACAGCAACAAGACAAAAGAAATTGATAATAACTTTTTCTTTTTTTTCTAAGATGTGAATTTTTTGTTTATATTATGTAATTAAGGTGGTTCTGTTTTTTTTTTCTTATACACATTTTTTTATTGGTGAAAGTTTTTTATGTTAAATACTGAAACTTTTACTGTAATTTTAGTTTTGGCTCGATATTAAGTGCTCATGACATGCCAGACATTTGTTGAGTATGACTGGTTTCTTCATTATGTTTTTACTCTGTCACAATACTAGAAAGCAACACCAGTTGATCTTGAAAAAAAAGTCAACATAAACCTTAAAAACATTCTTTGGTAATCTAGGACTGACAAGAGAAATCTTAAATGAGATGCATTGGTGGGAAGAGACTCATGGTAGATTGTCCAATCAAAATGTTTCAGTTTTTCATGTATTTTTAATTTCTATAACCAAAGCCAGGAATCATGATTAGTAACTCTTTTGTGAAACTGAACATGAAGCCACATGTATCTACTCACTTATGGTTGAATATGAACCTAGAGTTTTAACCACCCCAAATGGTTATGCCATCAACATCACTATCCAAGATAAGAGCCTAAATATGTGACTGGACGTGAGTGGTCAAGCATAGTATAAAAGTTATTGAAATTTCATGAGCCGTAGTGATAGACATCTTGAAGCTTAATGTGAGTGTCCCTAAAGTGGACAAAAGGAACATGTTGACAAAGAAAATAAAGATGTAACAATTAGTCATACCATAAAGAGATGTCACTTTTACCTGGTACGGAAATAAGACTTTGTTGAAGGATATGAACAGTTTTATCAATCGTGTTCCACACAATAAGCACCCTGCTAGATATGGACTTTAAGAATGTGATTCCCTGAGATATTTATCACAGAACCCCAAAGGATGTACCTACTTGATACCAAAGCTCCAATAACGATTAGCAATTAGAGGTGCTGTTAAACTTACTTTTCCATCTACTCAATTTAGAATTTAATTTTGTCAATTAAGAAATTAAATTCAGAATTCTTGACCCAAAGAGAAATCAATGGGAAACTCAAATATTTGCCAAGTTGTTTAAGTTTAGTGTAATAGTCACATATTTATCAAAGTATAAAAAGTAGGACTTCTTTAAATATATATATTTGAATTGGTGGTAGAGCTTGAATGGAGTAGAATAAAATCTTTAGAGGCATTTAAAAGATATTAAAAGCGAGATTCATTGGTTCCACTTTACTTACAATTTCACCTTCATTTTGTTTGCAATTTGACACTCTTTAATTACAAACTGAAATACTCTCTCTTTAATTACGGTTTTCCCTTCATTTTGTTTGCATTAACTTCAATGGCAACACTCTTAATCCAGATTTGTTTGGCTGAGAATTGAATCCAATTATTTAATAATAATAATGTTTCCTCATCAAGTTGCTGGGAACTCTACAAGAGCTGTTTGTTTCAAACTTTTTAAGAACAACCAAAGTACAAAATTGGAAGAGAATTGAGAAGTATCATAACATCGACTTTAAGTACAGGATAATGATACAATGATAGTGAAGATAAAATTAGGATTGTTCACCACTATCTAACCCTCTAGAAAAGACAATAAAAATCCATAAACTATCTTAAAAATAACAACGCATTAGTAAACTTCCCAACATATTATAAGCCAATCTAAACATAACATATGTTTCCCCAACTTTCCTAAGCTTGTCAGAACCTTCTTCCTTATTATCATTTTTAATCATCATCTTCATCCTCCTCATCCTCCTACAGAATTCAAAAAAAAAAAAAAAACATTGTAAAAACCATTTATGTATGTAATAATTATAAACATAAACAAATCAAATTATAGGATGAATCTACCTCATCTTCATCCTCATCATTGACTTCAGATTTTGACTTGTCAGAACCCTCTTCATCATCTTTCCCCTCCTAACAAACCAAAATACAAACTTCAATTAATCACTGAAAACAAAACATTAAACACCAACACAATACAACTATCTAAACAATTAACCATGAATATGAGTACTCACCAGTTTCTTATTATAGGCCTGAAGAGTTATCTCATACTCCTCTTTCTTCTTCAAAGCCCTATCAACATAAGGAGCCTTCTCCTGAAACACATAATTCATTATTATTAATTAATAATTAAATCTATTCAATATAACCAAAAAAAAACTCAAAATTAAGCATAAGATTAATCATCATAATTTTTCAAAAATATCACCTCTTCAGACAAGGATTTCCATTCCTCACCGCAAGCTTTTCCAACCTAATCAATTTCACAACATATATTATAAATTAGGTTTCCAAAAGAAGAAGAAAAAAACAAATTAAAAAAAAAAAACGGAAAAAAATTACTCACAGCGGCAACAGATTTGTTGTTAGGATGATCCTTCTTATACTGTTCTCTAAAATCAGCCCTGAATCATCATAATCATAAATCAAAATTCATCAAAACAACTAAGAAAAAGTCACGAATAAACAAGAATCAAACCATAAAACTTCCATACATGAAAACGAAGAAAGCACTGGGAGGCCTCTTAGGCTTGTTTGGATCCTTAGCAGCTTTCTTCGTCTGCTTCCTTCCAGTTCCAGCGCCTTTGCGTTTCAACCTACGAAACGAAAATCAGATAAAAAATTTCAGATCTAGAACTTGAAACAAAATAATCAAATAACAGAACCGAAAAAACGAAAGAATAGAAAAAATTTACCGGCTATCAGCGGCTTTGGAGTCGGATTTGGCTTTCGGCATGACGATCGAAGAAAATCAAGCAAAAACGAGTTACCGATTCGGAGCGAGTGAGAGTGACGAGTTAGGAGCGTGTTGCGAAGCGTTGTTGTGAGGATTCTGAAGAGAGGGAGAAGGGGATAAGAAGGGTTAGAAGCGAAGGGTATAGGAGAGAAAACGCTCATAAAAACTGAAAAGAGAAAAAATTGAAGTTTAGGGTTTACGCGGGATTTCGTTTATATTTTGCCACGTCATCGATCCGTGTGATTTGACTTGATTGGCTATTGGGATTGTTTGTGTTTTCTTTGTGTGTGTGTTTTGAAAGATTGGGAGTTTGGGTATGGTTTTGAATGTGTTTGATACGTGTTGTTGGTTTAGTTGAGTGACGGTATTGGCCTTTTGGTGAGAGGGGCTTTTACTTTTTTGCCCTGGGAATATAACCAACGTGCCACGCGAATCTGATGAAAAGATATTTTGAGGGGTGTAGGGGTGGTTTTGTAATTTCGGTGATGTGTGATTGTTTGATTTTTGTTTTTGTGGATGTGCGTTTTTTTGTTCTTTTGAGCTAATTGGGCTCGAAAATATTCTGGTTTTAAAACCCATATTTGAAAATATTTAGAATAAATAAATAAATATAAATAACAATATAAGTTTGTATAGGAGAAAATTTATGTACAATGTTTTATTTGTCGTTCTTACTATTTTTAATAAAAATGTGATAAATATATTTAAATATTATTTAAGATATGAAAATAGAAGAAAATTGCATATGTATAAGGAGAAATTATACGTTTGTCATATTTTTATTATCAACACCTCATTTGTTGAGGCACGACTATTCATTTGATCGTAATTAGAGTCAATGTAGTATGTATGAGATTTGTCCTCAATAAGCATGTTATAGAATATGATATCTACCTATATATTGTATGTTTCGTTATATTTATATGTTAAACATATGTCAGACCACAAACAGTCGAGAATTGGGTTTGGATTACTCCAAAGGCTCGTTTCACATCATTTCTTACTAATTTTTGTCATTAGCCAAATTACTTTCTATTTTCCCCTGACAATGTTGAAATCATCTCTATAATTTTAGCTTAATCGAGATAGATATCAAAAGCTAAATAATACCTTGTAGTATAAGTGGTCATATTCACAACGTATTGAATTGTGAGAGATCGTTCAACCAAAGTATTGTTAAACACATTGGGTGTGTTCAATACGTTGATGACATTGTTTGAACCTAGAGTACTAGAAAATATATGTGTATCCACAAGTATTATGATTGCAATGCTTATAGTAATATCGTAAGTTTGGCATGATCATTGTGACTAAATTGTCATTTCCTTGATACTAGACAGATTTTTCATTTACAATGCATACGGTCAATTAAACATAACATGCCTAAAAAATTTGATATGCTTCAACTATCTAACTAAGAATATAACATATACCACTAAAAATCCAAAGTTACCCTTATATCAAAATTTAATGGCTTAAATAAGTTTTTGGTCTCTCTAAATATCTTAAATTTCGTTTTTATTCTCTCTAAATTTTTCCTTCAAAGAATGGTCCTTCTAAAAAATTAAATTTTAACTTTTGGTCGATCTTGACAAAATCGTAGCTAAAATTGTCTCTAAATCCGTTGCTAAATAAAAACTATCGCTAAGTTGTAAAAATTGTCGCTAAATTGCATGAGGGACCAAAAGTTAAAATTTAATTTTTTAGGAGGACCATTCTTTGAACAAAAATTTTAGAGGGACTAAAAATGAAATTTAGATATTTAGAGGGACCAAAAACTTATTTAACCCAAATTTAATTACACTATCAAATACCCTTAATTATAATTTATTAAATCAATTAAAATGAATCGATCAGAATTACCCTTTTGTACACTTGGCCTAATGCTTTTCAAATGCACTCTCCAAACCCTTTACCCTCTCTTTTATTTTCTCTCTCTCATTTCAATATTCAAGGTTTTCTCTCTCTTCTATACACATTCTCTTTTCGTTTCTCTTTTCCTCCCTCAACCCTACCCGTTGTCGCAGCCCTCCCTCCCATACAACATGTCTACCCCATTTATCTCTCTCTCTCTCTCTCTCTCTCTCTCTCTCTCTCTCTCTCTCTCTCTCTCTCTCTCTCTCTCTCTCTCTCTCTCTCTCTCTCTCTCTCTCTCTCTCTCTCTCTCTCTCTCTCTCTCTCTCTGTGTGTGTGTGTGTTACTCCTTCAAACCCTAGCACATCCATCAATACTTTTTTTTCTGATTATGGACGCGAGCGGGGTGGTTCCGACAGTGATATGGGCTTTATCTCTGATGTTAGGGCTTCCTTCTTTCAGATAAATCAGTAAATTGGTAAATATCTTTCATCATACTTTGAGGTTTTGATTAAGAGTGATATTGCATTATGTTGTTGTATTTCATTTTCACATACGCATACGATGTGTTTGATTCTATGTTTTATTGAAAGTCCATATTTCTCTTGTGTTGTTGATATGTTATTTTTATTCAAAGGTTACAAATTTTGAATTTAAAGTGGTCGTATTTCAGTTTTACATAACCATGTTAAGTTTTCTATTTTGTAGTTCCGAATTCGGTCATCTTTCATATAAACTCATGGATGGGTAGTGTTGGAGGGTTGTGGACGAAAGAAAATTGTGGCCAAAGGTAGTGGTATGTGTTCATCTTTCAAAAAAGAGGGAAAATTTCATACTTTTTCTGCTAATTTGACTTTTGGTATGAGTGGAAAGTTCGTACCTTTTGGTATGAGCAAAAATGAATGAAAAGTTCATACCTTTTCTGAAATCTGTATTTCTCATTCTTTGTGAAAATTTTATATTTCTTCATTTTTATGAATTGATTTTCCTTAATTAAATTTATTGTGTTAGGTTTTGCATTGAATGTAGTGATTATTGTTATGATTGTTGTGCTTAGAATTAGTCAAAAGGTTGGCGGTCATGGTTGTGGAGCTCAAAGATCAGACCCTCAAGTAGTGATTAATGTTGTCCATTTAACCCTCAAGCATTGTTGAAACATAATATGATTTTTCGTGTTACTCATTATCTATTTGATTAATGATACCAAACTACATTTTTCCGTAAAAAATTGAATTAGACTTATCATATTTTGTTTGCCACAAAAACTTAGGCCTGATGCTTTCTTAATGGATTGAACTGAAAGAATGTTGTTAAGAGTTTTGTGATTATATAATTTAAGAGTCACATGGCCATTCTTTGTTTTTTTTCTTAAATTTTCTCATTGTTTCTTGCATTGTTGTTGCCCATGTCGGCTCCCTCTCTCACTCTAGTTAGGCTGTTAATATTGTTTGTTCGTCAATTCAACCTCTTCATAACTTAAACTTTCTGGTAGTATGTCTTTCACCTCTTCTTAACTGATCATGTGCTTTCGCCACAATGTTTTGTTGCTCGCCTCTTATTTTAAATACAAATTATTTTAATTTGAATAGGTAGAAAATACATTGCATAAAGAATAGACTTTTTTTTTTGCAGGTTGGCTATGATCATATACATTGGAAAGGTGTTGTTGTGGTTGTTCTAACCTGCTGTAGTAAATAATTATACATTTAATGGTTAATTAATTTTGAATGTTATGTTATTGTTAAATATTATGTATTGTATGACTAAGCGAGCATGGGATATTGATAAATAGAGAAATTTAGAGATGCTAAATTTCATGTTTTTATGTCATGCGTGTGTTTCAAATTTGTGTTTATTTCTGGAAAAGAACATGAAATTGAAAAAGTTACAGACGAGTCATTTTTAAGTAACTTGTATTCTAGTATTGTATGTAGCTTGTGTTACATCCTTTTGTTTTCAACTATATGGTTTTATGATCTACTTGGTTTCATGTGCGGCTTTATTGGGTTTCATTATAAGCTTTTTAGTTATGTTGTTTTCATTTCAGTTTTGTGAAGAATCATTATAAGATTTGCGGTTTCGACATAACTACTGATCGTACCTGATCAGAAGGGATTGTCAAGGTCTGTGAGCTTTAAGTCAAGCAGTGGTTGAATGTGAAGTGGAGGTACCTGCAAGACACTCTGATGCAAAAGTAAGGTTCAGAGTAAGTGCAAGTAAAGCGTGAGAGTATGGGTGAATGGATGAATACATGACCCTCTCAAGTGAAAGGGTAATTATATCCCCCAACGTTGGGCCAAGGTCCCCATTATTGGGCTGACCAAGAAGGCCCAAAACGGAGACGGTTAGGTCCTACGTGTGTAGTGGAGGCTAACACGTGGTTCACAACTTGAATGGACTCCTCTGAATTATCAGGAGGACGTGGATGCAATCCATTTAGGGTCAAGAGGACTCTGTGACATTTGGGGGTGTTGGGTGCCTGCCCTACGAGGAGGGTGCTCGTGAGGACCTCTTGAGCATCGTCGATCCTCCTTGCCAATCATGCGGTGAGTTTTTCCCCAGAGGACATATCTTGGTCGACATTATCAAGGGCATACTTTCTTCTGCTGTTTTTCTCCTGCTGCATAGTTGGATTGGGCCTTGTATGATGTTCGAGCAAAGTGTAGGCCTAGTCTAGAACATGAGCCCCTCAAGTCGCTGCTCCTGAGGAAAGGCGTTATAACTTAAGACCAGCTTCCCCGTATGGTGAGCATAGTTTCGTCGGGGTCCCTTATCACGTCGAGGGACGGGGTTATTTTTATACGTGACTACTCGAGTGGAGATTTGAGTGTGTTCACAGAGAAAACTTATCTTCTCCTTGACTCGCGGGGAGACGAAAGTCCGCATGGTGTTTAGTTTGTAAGCTATGTGGTGTAGCTTTGGGATAGAATGATATCCTAGGGAATATGGGTCATTAAGACCCTGAACGCGTGGGCAGCAGAGAGACGAATAGTTGATACATTGTTCGATGTGACGCTTCGTCTTCCATGTCAACCTTATAAATAACACCTAGGGGCTCATTTATAACATTTCCAAGCTCTCGTTCATGCCTCTATCCCTACTGTCCTCAGTTTTATACCGCCATCAGTTTCCTTCTCTAACTGTGAGCGGCGTTGTAGCTTGTGCCACTGAATCTCTACCAACCATAATCAAGTAAGTGTTTTCAATTATTACTCTTGTTTATAACTGGGTTTTTGACAAATTTCATAGATTTCTTGATGAATTTCACTACCGGAGGATTTTTACTCAGGATATTCATACCTTTATTCGTGATACTCACGAAATGGATCATGAAATTCCGCTCTCTGCAGAACTCATGAAATTGCTCTTGGAATCCATCCCCTCCTCGTAATGTTCATGGGATTGCTCGGGAGATTCATCTTATCCTCGTCCCCTTCACGGGTTCCTCGAGAGATTCATATTCTCATCGTGGCCTCAATGAGGTTGCTCGAGAGATCTATATTCTCCTTGTCGCATTCACGAGTTTGTTTGCTTTTACTGAATGAGGGTTTGTCAACCTGGTTTGGTCGTAGCAACCCTTTTTTACTTGTGTTGCAGTGGAAGGGTGGATTTGATTTAGTTATCGAACTCACTAGTTTCCTCTGCTTTATAGGTGAAATGGTCGAACCAGTCGA